CGAAAAAAACGACCATGTATAGTAAGGCGTTTTTAGCCCGAAAAAAACAACATCGTATCGTAAGGCGTTTTTAGTGCGAAAAAAACGACATAGTATAGTCAGGCGTTTTTAGCCCGAAAAAAACAACATCGTATCGTAAGGCGTTTTTGGCGCAAAAAAAACGACCATGTATAGGAAGGCGTTTTATACAGAAAAAAAACAACCATATATAGTAAGGCGTTTTTAGCCGAAAAAAAACGACCATGTATAGTAGGGCGTTTTTTATAGAAAAAAAAACGACCATGTATCGTAAGGCATTTTTAGCCGAAAAAAATGGCCATGTAGTAAGGCGTTTTTAGCCCCCAAAAAACAACCATGTATAGTGAGGCGTTTTTAGCCGAAAAAAACGACCACGTATAGTAAGGCGTTTTTAGCACCCAAAAAATGACCATCGATAGTAAGGCGTTTTTTCCAGAAAAAAACAACCATGTATAGAAAGGCGTTTTTAGCCGGAAAAAACGACCATGTATAGTAGGGCGTTTTTTATAGAAAAAAACGACCACGTATAGTATAGTAAGGCGTTTTTAGCACCCAAAAAATGACCATGTATCGTCGGGTGTTTTTAGCCCCCAAAAAACGACCATATATAGGAAGGCGTTTTTAGCCGAAAAAAACGACAATGTGTAAGTAAGGCTTTTTTAGCCAAAAAAACCGACCATGTATATTCAGGCATTTTTGTCCAAAAAAAATGACCATGGATAGTAAGGCGTTTTTTACAGCAAAAAACAACCATGTATAGTAGGGCGTTTTTAGCTGAAAAAAAAAAACGACTATGTATATATAGTAAGGCGTTTTTAGCCCACACACAAAAAAAGGACCATGTTTCTAAAGGCGCTTTTAACTGAAAAGTGGCCTTTTCCTCCTTGCATTTTTCTGTATGCGGCCCTCAAACTAATAGTTTGTACACCCCTTCAGCTAAAACCGTTGAACCAAAACACAAAAATACACCCAAAGTGGCAACTTTAAGACCAGAACTTTCACCAGTCGTCCAATTCAAGGCTGCCTCCAGCAATATGGTGAGATGACCTTTTCCAAAGCATCCCTCAGTCGACTAACAAATTCTACCAGTGTGATGTTTGGAGCGGTAATGGAGAGAAACATGTCCACTGAAGCTGTGGAGGAATTAGGTGCAGAACAACAGCAACAAAAAAAAAAGTTCAGGGCCACATTTTAAATCCAGTCGTGCATTGATTGACTAATGCGCCACCTAGTGGAAGTGGTAGTGGAAACAAAATATATATATATATATATTGAGCCAGTATATATATATATATATATATATATATATTCACTCTATCAGTAAAATGCTTTATTTTATGTTTCTTTATTTTATTACATAAATTAACCAGACATTTAATTTTAATCTAATCATTATTTTATTCATATTTAGTTTCATTATTTATAATAAAGTAAAAAAATAACGTAAATTATATTTTAAAATTTGAGTCGTTTCATGTCATTTTTAAACTCTTCATCATCAATTATTGACCCAGCCATTTTATCAAACCAACAAAAACAACTTGCATATCCGTAAAATTGGTTCCATTTACAATTTTTTTTTTCAATTTTAATATGCGCAGCATATAAATCATCAAAATGTGACAAACAATAAAAATGGCAAATGCAGATATCAAATATAAGAATTTATTTTGCTAAAATTTTCGTTTTGACCATGTCGTGCAAACATGTCTTGTTGCTTCCCTTACCTCAAATTGGCACGAATAATTCTTCATCCACGCGGTGGTGTGATCTGGGTGGCACGACCTCCGGATTAGCGACCCACCCGGGACCCACTGACATTAATCAGGCTGATTGGCCCCGAGCGCTTAATCTCGTGTTTGCCGCTCGTCGCCAGGGCCGAATGCTGCTGCGTGCCGGCCAAAGTGATTGCCGTGTAATCTTTTTGGGTGAAAAAGACGCCAGAGCGGCAAACCTCCACTGAGGCCGCGCGGGAACAAAAATAGCCCAATAGCCGCGTAGCTTAGCGGCTAACGTATCCCTCTGTCGGTTTGTACGTTTTAAGATGAAACTTGCGACATTTCGCTCAGCCCCGAAAGGACAACGTGTGTCTCCGTCCTCCCATGGGCTCACCACCTGTGGGAGGAGCGAAAGAGCTCGGGTGCAAAGAGAGCTGGGTGGTCTTGCCCCTGGCTACCGAAGGCGGCTCGAAGGAGGACTCCCTAATTATCGAACTGGGGTTGCAAGGCGGAGAAGGTCCGGTGAGGAGGGCGAGTCCTGGCTGTTGTTTCAAAAGACACACACAAAACATACATCTCCGCCAGTGACCTTCGTTTTAACAAATGCGTTTACGTGAAACTTGTTAAAATGTCACAAAAAAGGGACAAACTTGAAGTCCGCTGTGTCGGCTCTCCACAGGTCCAAGCGAAAGGTTCTGGGTCGCAAAGAGTCTGAAGAGGACAAGCCCCGGTCGGGGAGCCACTCGCAGTCGCCCCCCGTGACGCCCCCCTGCGCGACGGCGGCGTCTCCGTCGTCTCGCCCGTCTGGCTCCATCCAGCGCCACCTGCGCAAGTCCTCCACCAGCAGCGACACCTTCAAGGCCCTTCTCTTGAAGAAGGGGAGCCGATCGGAGAGCAGCTTCCGCATGTCTGCCGCCGAGGTGCTGCGCTCCACGGACCCCCGCTCGCAGCGCACGCGCTCCGAGTCCGCCATCCCGGACTCCCCGCTGCAGTCGTCGTCCTCGCCGCCCCACAGCCCCCGCGCCTCGCCGGGCCGAGGGAAACGGGCGGCGGAGGAGTGGAGCCGCTACGAGGCGCTCGCCCTGTCGCCGCCCGCATCCTCCGCCTTCAAGTACGGGCGCTCGCGTACGCCCCCTTCGGCCGCCAGCAGTAAGTACAACGCCCGATGTCGGATCCTCAGCAGCCCCATGACCGTCATCTGCGAGCGAGACGGCGAGTACGCCGATGCCAACGGCACTTTATCAGACGACAGCGGGAGTTAGGGACTCTCGCCGCACTAGAACCAAACGTGGCCTGAGGTTTTTGGGGGCTTCATTTTGGTTATTCTGTTCATGTTTTGGGGTTTTTTTTCTGTTGTTTACTTTATTCTGTTAAAATTAGGGTGTGTTTGGAAAGTCACTGCATACTTAGCAATAGACATCCTTCAGTCAAGTACAGGGAACAATTCATAGTCATACATGTCTAAGTTTTTCTTGGTATAGCAACTGTTCATGAACCGTTGCATGATCGTTTTGTTTTGAATATTGAATTTCATATTCGGATACGCTGCCACTCAAGTGAAGAGAAAAAAAAAACTGAACAAACAACTCACAGAAAACACAAGGAGCCCCAGTCAGCCGCAACTCACCCAACCAGACTCCAGCTCCAGATGTCACGCATTAGGCCACGCCCACATCTAGCACAAATACTAAAGTATGTACAGAAATGACACTTTTGTGGGGGGTGTTTGATAGATATACGGTGCTATTTTCTTTGTTGAAAACATTACAGATAAAAACTCCCAAGGTTCCACTGCGATTACTCCCTGTAATGCTCTCGCTTGCGACAAAGGAAAGCCAGTCGGCGATGCACTTTTCCGCTCTTCATAAAAGGCCAGCAAATCACACGCCACCCCACCAAGCCCCGCTTCCTAAAGGCACATGCACGTACACAGACACCACACGTTTGTTTTAAAAATACATTGTATGCTTGTACTTGTTTTTCTATTTTTGTTCAAACTTGTTTACAAAGATGATAGAAAAGGGGTCAAACGTTATTTTTGAAAAAATATGGTTGCGCTATCTTGCAGAGGGTCTGGAACTGACAGTGTCCCTGCCCTGTATTCTATTTTGAAATTTGTCTGTCGGGTAAGAAAGTTGACAGTGACTTTCCAAACGCGCTGTCCACTCAGTCGTCTCCGTTCCAGTAGGCTCATAAATCTGTTCGATTGTAGATTTTGCACTGCGCATAGTTTTCCTGTTGTCTTCGTTTGCCGTGCGTTTGTTGAAAATAATGTTGTATTCAAAACAAGCTCATTGATGTTTTCCAACCTGAACTTCTCGTGGTCGACGTGGTTACCAAAGAGCCAAACAACAAACTTCTCTCAGACGGAAGCCACATGAATTGTCGTTGACCCTTTCGGAGCTTGTCCTGATACTTTTATATTGTTGAGTATGTAAATAAATAGAAAACGAATGTTCTAAGTCACATCTGGGCTGTTTGTTGTTTTTTTTTTTTTTTTTTTTAATTACTTTGTTTCGTTTGCTTCCTAAAGTGTCCTAAATCATAACTTCAACAATAAGATACATATTTACATTAGTTAAAAAAAATATGGTTATTAGTTATTTCAAATTGAAATCAATTATTACAGGTAAAATAAATATCAATCTTTATTAATCTTGCTATGATTATTTACAAGTCACTTAAGGCGATCTGATACAACTGCCGATGTTCCCGCTGTCACGGTAACAAAATCCCATCGGCCTTCTGGTGTGACGACTCCTGCTTCCTCTGACATTCCAAAAACACACGATAGCATCACTGCAGACGGTAAACTATGCTAACTGACAAGTCAGCAGTAGCACATTCTGCAGGATGTGATCATGAGTGGGCGGGATTTCTATGGATTCCCGCCAAAAGAACAACACCTGCCAGGACAGATGTGACTCAGCACAAAACTGACACCACCAATGCCCTTGGCGCCCGAAAAACAATCATACATACACATACAGCAAACTGGATGTGATGTAGATGGCAAAGAAAATTCGCAACTTGGCCACTAGGGGGCAGTATTGTATATTCCTGAAAAAATACACACTAGTGTTGTTTTTGGCAGCCATTTTCGATTTTAGATTAGATTTTGAATTTTAGTCTTAGTTTTTTTTAAAGGCAAAATTGCTTGTTAGTTTTCGTCACATTTTAGTCATTCCTATTCGTGATAGTTTTAGTCGACAAAAACTCAAAAAGGTTTCAGTTCAAAACACACACACAATTTTAGTCAATGTTATTGTAATGTTCACTGAGACGTTGACAATACATTTATAAAATACAAAAAAAAAATGTAAATCCTCAGTTAATCAAGAGTTTTGTAATTGTTGACAACATTAGCTAAAATCATCATTACATGTTCTGAAAAGCAACACCTGTAAGGTGTGATGTCTAAAAACGTCAGCAAGCTGCATTTAAAAAAAAAAAAAAAAAAAGCTTTGTTTTCAAGTCTGCATAATTATACTGTATTATTATACTGTCTGTATTTTTTACAAGTTTTGACAAGTTTGGTGAGAACTCTGTTTGGGCATTTATTGCTGCTGTCGATATTTGCTTAAATGCTCAAAAGGTTTTCAACAAACGAGAAGGCACTTCATCTGTTTAGCAATGCTGCCCTCTAGAGGCCAAGCAAGTGAGCTACAACCCATTCCTACTGCACTGTAAGGCCAAATAAAAACGTTCGGGCACTGATCTGATTCAACATGTCTACTGGACTAACTCTGCGCTTGTTCGTTTTGCTTGAGGAGCCACACCTCGTTCCTGCGGTTGACTAACTTGAAAGGGCTGTCGTATCCTGCCACGTAGTATGGCCGCTCCGCAAAATGGACGCCGTCCCGCCGCAGGCTCTCCTGCAGCTTTAGCAGCTCGTCGCGCTCCAGCGTCTCGTTGGAAAAGCCGCCATAGGTTCTGAAATAACATATGGGGCGAAATTACACACACGTTATACATAAAATGTACAGTAATACAGTAAATTGAGTAAAAAAAAAATACATAAAATACAACACTGTACCCTGTAAAATGAATCACAGATGTGTTTCATATACAGTACACAGTACATGTTAGCTATAAACGTGCAAATAGAACCATGTCGTACTGAAATGTGGAGATAAGGCATTAAACTATTTTTCACATTTCAGTTTTCCTGATATTTTGGGTGTGAGGCTAAAACTTCACCATGTTACGCTCTTTGGAGGTGTCACTCCACCTCTACTGTATCCAAGAACTAGAGCGCCTTCATGTCAGCTGTTGTCCAGTTAGCTAGCTAGCTATGCCTCCACCCTGAAAATACTTGAAACCTTAACTACTACTACCAGAACTACTACGAAAACCCTTTGGATAGTTTGCATTTGTGGCTACTTAAGAGTGCCTTGTTGTTGGCTGTGGGTGTGCGCATCACAGGGAGAAAAATGGAAGAGGAAGGAACGCAACGTCTGTACGCGTGTGTGGTGTTCCTCACCTGACGTAGGCGGTGAACTCGTCACGGTTCTCTAGAAAGACGTCAGGGTCGCTGGGCTGCGGCGGTGCGTCACGGTGCTCCTCGGGGATGAAGAAGGACACAGTGAAGTGGGACTCACAGGCGGGGCCGGCGCCGGGGTCCACGCGGAACGTCACAGGGGCTGTCATCTCCACTTTGACCTCTGAAGGCACAAATAAAACACACACACACACACACGCTAAATACTCTGTACATACTCCTCACTGAATTTTCTTTTTTACAAATCTAATTACAAAAATATATAACCATATTGAGTTCCTGTGGGCACACTGATATTAAGGATTTTGGTGCTGCATTGAATGATTGCTGACAGAAACACAACTGAGTTTTTACGTACAAGGATTCATTTGATTGGGTGGGATGTTTCGTCCGTACTTTGGTAGTTGTTGCCTTGAATGTAATTGAAGAGCCTGCGGAAGCCGACTCGCTTGCTTTCATCCAGACTCGTCCCGCTCAGGGTGGTGCTCACCCACTTGGCCGCCTGATAGGTGCGCACCTCATAGTCCTTGGGCTGCACACACAAACACACTTGCAATGAATATATTCAACTAAATAAATCAATAAATGTTCACCCAACAAGCCACCCCCCCCTCCACACACACGTTTCTCAAATGTGACGTCACGCGGGTGCATCGATTACACATCATAAAAACAAAGTGTACCTGCAGTTCGGGCGCTGTAAACTTTGGGAGCTGTAAGCCGTAGGAGAAAAAAGCCTGTCCAACCGCTTTGAACATGGCTGCTGCTCTGAAAGGTTTCACGCCACTTCCAATAATTTAACAAGAGAAACCCCGAAAAACAGCACTGTCAACGCGTCGTAGTACGAGCTGATGAAAAGTTTGTCTGCAGACCGATGATAAGCGACGTCGTGTTTTATCGTTGCGCGCAGTGAACAAACTATTTCGACGCCGTAAAACTACATTAGGACTCAAGATGCGACTTGGGAGACTCCTGTCTTGTTTTGCTTCCGGTCACGTGAACGAGCTAGTATTGGTTTGAGTGACCAAATTTCAAAAGGGCGTAAATTATTTTTGTTGTATGTATATAACTTAGAATGTTTCTGTTTGTTAGAAAAAAACATCGATCAAGAAGAGCGTTACTGCTTTATTTTATATACCACAAATTAATGCAACACACCTGTGCCGTCGCTGTCACGGGAATAGATTGCAAACTGCGATTGGCTGAGCGACCCAGGCTTCAAAACAGGAGCGTATGATTTATCGAAATCGATATTTGTTACTTCTTTTTTTTTTGTATAATTAATTCACATTTTCAATGACAAATATATGAGAATAAAAACAACCAACTTTGTAAAAGGTTATCCACTTGTGATAACAGTAGACAGTAGGTCATAAATGCTTTCATACTTTTCTGTCTTCATACATTATAGGTTTTTTTTTTAATATATATCTCTAATTCAATTGGAAACATTTTAAAAATGGGGAGTGAACAAAAAAATGTCAAGACAGAGAGTCAAATGTAACACATTGTTATTGTGTTGAAGTTCCAAATGTTACAATGTCTCGACATGGGCGGGTCTTCAAAATGTCCGCGATTTTTTAAGTGTCTCTTTGACTTTTGTTGGAATTGTAAATTTTAAATGAATTGTTCTTAGCTTTTCAGTGGCTGTTTTGTCATATTAATTTGTTATCGTTGTTGATTTTACCAGGGAATAGGTTCTCAGTAGGACACTGTCGAATGAATGTATTTGTTTGTTGTTACCTGTGGCCCTTTCAGATTAAAGTGATATTTTTAAGCCACCTATTTTGTGATGCAGAACCAGATTGTGCTTAGGTTAATGAGCCAAGATTTTAACCAATTACCCCCTTTCAGGGACAGCGTTTAGTAGAGTGGACAGCTATTCACATATTTGCTCATATATTAATTCATCAACCACTACAATGGACCTTTATGTGTGTCGCCATTCAGGCCACCATCTTTTATTTCTTTAACCATTTGACCTTTTCTAAGATAGTGAGGCTTATTTCTCCCAAGTTAAGTTAAAATTTATGGTATTGTTTTAATTAGGTTATTTGAGACGATTTGACCTATCAGGCAACCCCCGCGTAAAAATCACTTCCTGCACAAATGTGAGACCCCATTGGCTGAGCGAACCACCTTTCAAAATAAGGTTCCTTTGACGTCAAGAAACCGGTTGTTCTTGTTCGTTTCACACTTAAAACCAGTCTTTCTAAAAACAGAATTGATTGATTGGCTTTATTTAATCTGCCACTTTTATTTCCATTTTTTTTTAAAAGGAACATCAGGCTCTTCAAGCGACGTGAGGGACGGTCATAAAAAAACAAAAAACAAAAAAAAAAACCCTTGATGAATGAACAAGAAAAAACTGATCAAATAAATTCCCATGAGTTGTCTTTACAGGGTTATCTTGGTTGCTGTCAATTGTTTTCAAGACTATATACCTGATTATTGTCAGCGCTGACGTGATGGGGAAAAAAAAAAGTGAAAAATAGACAAATCGTAGCATGACATCTTTGCGGTGGTTCTTCAGCTCTCTTATGTAAAAAATGACCAGATGTCACAACAATGAATACCAAACAGTTCCTGAAATTGTGTTGACAGGGAAACTTGGGGTTGGGAAAACTATGGCCCACGGGTCATTTTGGGTCAACATGAGTGGAAGAAAATAAACAAAAATAAAAAAAAAGTTGTTTGTTGAACCAGGTAACGAACGCAATAGAAAACAGTTTATTTGCAATACCAACCTGGGAACAATTTCGTGTTGTCTTGCTCAAGGACCCTGAGGGCAGATCGTTGGAATTCGAACCGTCGCTCACCGGATGAGCCACTCTACTGACTGAGGGACAAGCCACCCTGTGTTCAAGCAAATGTTATCACAAGCTCAAAATATGTTGCCTACAAGTGCTCCATAATTGGACACAGCTCTTAGGTTGAGAAACTTGGAAGTCGTTAAACTCGTACGGCTCGCCCTTGTGGTTGAAAGTTGTGACGTTTTTCATCATGCATTTAGTCTGGTCCTTGGAGGACTTTATACCAACTGAAATGGCTGCTTGAGAAAGTGATACTGTATATTTGCATTATTTAAAAAAAAAAAAAAAAAAGAAAAGTCCCTAAAGTGTTTCCCCAAGGTCCTGCCACCGAGCGACGGGTCACAGCTGGTGCTTGTGGTGAATGAATGCGAGCACGTCATCTTTGGACAGCTTGTCATGGTCCACGCGCGTCTGAGAGTCGTGCACGATGACGCCGTCCTCCCACGCCCAGAAGAGACGCTCTGCGTGGCACGTGCTGTCAACACACACAAGCCAGCTGCCAACAACCAAAAAAAAAAAAAGAATGGCGAGACGAGGAGATAATAAGGGGGGTGGG